GAATGATTCTATCTTCACATATTTTCCTTATATATCATGGCACAGATATATGTGTATATACCTAAACGTTAAGATGGACAGGTCACGTATAATGAAGTCATTGCTCCGCCCCCTCGTGCTCTAATCCAAAGTCCCGTAACCTTTCAGCTCGAGTTACAAAATCGCTTTCAGTACCTAGAAGATTGCAATGTAGTAGAAGATATAAATGACAAGCTCGTGGAAACTGTCCATGCCGTCGGAGCTAATTTTTGCAAGGCCCACCGCAGAAGAACACAAAAACTCTCCGATCACACTCTTAATCTCATGGCTGTTAGACGGAAAATGAAGTTGCAGTCTTCAGTAGATTTGATAGCATACAGACAATAAAGCAGACAGATCTCCAAACGCACGCGGCGGTACTTACGCATTTTTAATATTGCTCGTATTAAAGAATCGATCGAGCAGAACCAGGGGTCCAAAGTCTTTGCCAGGATCGGTCTGCCAGAAAGCGTAAACTGTCGAAGCTGAAGACCGAATGTGGCAGCATCGTTTCCGAGATACGTGAGATTTTGAGTGAGATTGAGAGGTTCTATGTCCAACTTCTACCGAGAGGTCAATCGACGGATTCAACTCGGCTGGGCAGCATCCGGAAGATTACGACATATCTTCTCGTTAGACATACCTCAGAACCTCAAACCTAGATTGTCCAACCAGTGCGTGTTGCTAGTGATGACCTACGGATCTGAGACGTGGTCCTTCACTGCTGGCCGCATAAGGAAGCTCAAGGTTGCTCAGCCAGTTATGGAGAGGGCTATGCTCGGGGTTACTCTGCATGATAAATTTAGAAATGAGGATATCCGCAGTAGAACCAGAGTAATCGACAGTCCAACAGATTAATAAGCTGAAGTGGCAATAGGCCGGCCATATAGCTCGAAAAACCGACTACCGATGGGGAAGAAAGGTTCTCGAGTGGCAGACTCGTACCGGCAGGCGAAGGGTGTCGTAAGAGGCGACAATGGGAAATAGGCAGGAGATGGGCAGCAGCATCTTCCTGATTACAGCAAAATTACAATAAAAAGACTGCGGTTGCCAACCAGCTCGCCAAGCGTGGCAATTATGGCAAATACCCCCCAGGATGAAAGTAATAAAGAGAAGCCCCCAGTCCCCGGCGGCTCCGCTATTCCTGACTACGGTGGCGACCATGGTAACGGCGGGGCGGGGGGTTCTAAAAATCTCCGGTGGAGGTTCGGTTGCCACCTTAGACGACTCAACCTGGCAACATACAACGCACGCACCCTGAGGACTGACGAGCAGATCGTGGAGCTGGAAGAAGAGATACACAAGTTACGCTGTCATATTATAGGATTATCAGATGTAATTTATGGAAACTAATTTATGGATTTTTTTTAATTTTAATATTTTCAATTCCATGGTCACCGAGAGTGTTTGTTGTCTTAATACTCGTAGTTATTATTAATTATGCAATTAAGATAGTTAACGAAGAATATCTCTTTATAAATTTTCGCCGTATTATTGCGAAATTTATGTTTTCCGACGATACCATTATTGCTGGTTCGTCCAGTGTTTGTTTCGATAGATTATATACCGGAGGTTGTTTATTATCCGCGTTTGTGGCCAATGGTTGCCTTTCATACCAATGTTGACATTCATGTTTGATATTTAATTGAGTTATTTTTTGATAAGCTTCTATTTATTTATTTTTGCATTCGTTATACTCAGATTTTCCACGATTACATAAAGGTTAGATGAATGAAATTATAAAAATAACATTTGATATTTATAATTTCATGGAAATTAGAAAAATCAAATGTTATTTTTTTTAATTTTTTTTATTTTATTGATAGAACCACCAACGGAATAACATGTTGTTTTAAAAAAAATGTGACAATAGGCTTAGGAACTAAGATTTACATGTTTCCATTTAAAGGTAGTTACAGCATGTTTAAAAAAGACGATAACTGTACGATAACTTAATAATTGTTACAAGTACGAGTAAAATACTAATATAAAACAAACAAACACAATAAGGATAATACGAAATATATGAAAATTAAAAATATATAAAAATAACAACATTTATATCGAGTTTATATAAAGTTATAGTATAATTTTTACTATGAGTTATTAAATAGATTGAAAATTTTGGCTCTAAAAGATTTTATACTATCGCTAAATAAGTCAATAGTCTTATCTTTAAGGACACATTCGTTATACAATCTTCTTATTCTCGGTATAAGAGAGTGATGACCAAGATTAGTTTTATACAATTTGTGTTTGAGTAAGGGAATCGAAAAACGCGGTACACGGCAGGGAACTTTGAACAATATTTGTGATAGTAATTCTGCAGAATCTATGGTCCCATTTGTAAGCTTGTACAAAAAAACTAAATCATGTAGTTTACGTCTGTCCGAAAGTGAGTTTAATTTTAGTTTTAGGAGACGAGTGGAATAGGATTCCATATAATTACCACTAGAACAATATTGAGTGAATCGTCTTTGAATGCTTTCTATACGATCTTTGTGTATTTGATAATTAGGGCTCCATATGATGGTACCGTACTCTAATTTACTTCTAACTAAGGAAGTGTAAAGAAGATTTTTTGTTTTGATTTTTTTAAAACATTTTGAATTTCTGTATAAAAACCCGAGCATTTTGCGTGCCGATCTACAAATATTTTCAATGTGAATATTAAATCTTAATTTAGCATCAATTGTAATTCCTAAGTCTCGGATGGATTCAAGCTTCTGAAGTGGATTATTGTTCAACGTGTATTGGGTATCTGATGCAGTATGCTTACGCGTAAAGTTGATATATGAACATTTAGAAGCGTTGAGATCCATGCCATTTAACTTGCTCCAACGAGCAATTCTATCGACATCTTCTTGTAGAGATTGTGCATCATGATCGTTAAGAATTGCTTTTGCGAGTTTCAGATCGTCCGCAAAGATGAAACATTTGGAATTATGTACACAATTAGTTACATCATTTACGAAAATATTAAATAATAAGGGTCCTAATATGGATCCCTGAGGTACTCCCGAGGTGCACCCATATTTCTGAGAAAAGTGGCCTCTGATCACTACGTATGAAAATCTGTCTTTTAAATATGAAGCAAACCACGAAAGTAGTGGCCCTCCGATTCTGAACGATGACAGTTTCGCTATTAACAACTGGTGATTCACCCTGTCGAAGGCTTTGGAGAAATCGGTGTAGATAGCATCTACTTGAAAACGTGAGTCGACGTATGGTGTTATATAATTCAAAAAACATGAAAGATTTGTGACAGTAGATCGAGATGTCATAAATCCGTGTTGGGTGTCTGAGATAGCGTGGCGAACATGGCGTGACAATATAGGCGAGATCAAGGACTCGAAGATCTTAGAGACAACCGATAATATTGATATGGGTCTGTAGTTGGCAATATTATCTCGATTCCCTTTTTTGTACACAGGCACTATTATTGCAAGTTTCCACATATCTGGGAAGACCCCGGTACTGAGGGATGTATTAAAGATAATACAGATAGGCAAAGACAACTTTTTAGCACACTTCTTAATAAACGATGAAGGAAGATCGTCGGGTCCAGCACCTTTCTTTGCGTCAAGTCTTTTTATTTTTTTTTATTACTTCCTTAACATTGATGTTTATTAAACAGAGATTGTTTTCGGTAACTATTTTTAGGGGAATGTTTCTACAGGGTAGGTCTCTCCTCTCGTATACGGAAGCAAAGGATTCCGCAAAGAGATTGCACACTCCTGGGCCATCGGTAGCAACTTTATTGTTAAGTACCATTCTGGCTGGGTACGTGTTTGATGGTTTTTTTACGTTTTTTAAGTGTGTCCAAAAATATTTAGGATTATTTTGTAGGTTAGTTTCAACGCATTCAATATAATTATTATAACTTGCTTTAATTAATTTAATACAGCTAGACCTTAGTGATTTAAATTTGAGTATGTCTAGACGGTTATTGTAAATTCTAATTTTTACTCGATATTTATTTTTAATTTTCAACATAGAAATTAATTTATTATTATACCACTCTTTGTCTTTGGCACGTGTTTCTCAATTATTGATTTTAATTTATGATAAAATTCATTAAGCATTGAGTTAACTGAATCGCAATTTAGTAAAAGTTCAGACCAATTTGTACCATCTAATTCATTCTTAATGGCCTCATAATCTGCTCTAAAGAAGTTGTACCTTTCATTGAGCTGTGCATTGATCGTATTAATCTTCAAGAAATCGAGCTTTAGGTTAAGTGACGGATGATGATTATCAATTATGCTTATTGGATTGAAGTTTTGACTAACTGGCACATGAATATGATTTGAAAGAACCAAATCAAGCAACCTGCCATTTGCGTTAAATATTGAATTGAATTGTTTTAAATTGTGTTCCTCGATAAAGTCAATAAAACTAGACGCTAAGTTAGAACTACTAAAGGGGTGTAGACAATTTAATTCCGGTACTTTCGACCAAGAAATACTACTAATATTAAAATCCCCCGTTAGCATGACATATTCATTTGTATTAATAGCTTTGGACGCATTTTCTAAGAATTCACTTAGCACATTGCTATTCATCGGAGGTGGCAAGTATACTACGCAGATTGCAACATGACTTGGTTTACTATCTACAATTGCATCAACCGTAATCCATAAATCTTCGCAGTTACTCTCCCAATGCAGGCAACGGCTTGATTTTAAGGTATTTTTAACTGCTATCATTACACCCCCCCCCCCCATTTTTGATTCTTTTTGGGTCTAATTGTTCCCTGTCTCTCCTGTATACCGTATAGCGATCATCAATAAACTCACTATCGAACACGCCGTCATTAAGCCAAGTTTCTGTAAAAATAAAGATGTCGAAATCATTACATTATATGTTAAGTTTTACATTCCGCGCTTTAATACGAATCCCCCTTACGTTTTGATAATATATATTTAATGTATCGTATTTTAACAGAATTTCGATAAGAGACTAGACAGATAAGTACTTTACTATTGTAATTCTTTGAGCTGCTCGATGTTACGCACGACAATATGTTCAGAATTATCGGTTTTTCTTAAAAAGACACGACCATTTTTAATCCAGACAAATTTGTATTTTAATTTCTTTGCTGTCGCTCTGGCATGGGCGTGGATTTTCTTCAGCTCCGGGGTCAAATGTTCGACTACAAATATAGGTTTTTTGTTGCCACCTATCCCGATGTGGCTTGTATTTAGTTTTTCATTTGTGTTTCTTTTATTGAAATTTATTACTCCGGCTAAGAATGTATCACGAACCCGTGGACAAGCAAACTTCACAATAATAGACCGCGGTCGTGCATTTTCTGGATTAATCTTGGCGATTCTTGTACATTTATGGATTTCAGCGTCAGATATTTTAGTGCCGGTAATCTTCCCTATTTGTGTAATAATATGAGGTATATTTTCGGCCCTATGTTCCGGAATACATTGTATCTCTAGGTTGCTCATTCTTGAATGCTGCTCCATTATGCTTAAGCGACTATTGAGGTCTTTTACTGTTGATTTAAGGCAATCATTTTCTTCTTTTAGATGTTTTACATCTTTAAATTTTACTTGCATATCCTTTTTTAAATCTTCGTATTGGTTAGTAATGAAAAGAACAGATTCCTTTAGATCAGTGATTTCCTTGGTTAGTCCCTTTATTTTATTTTCTATAATTTTGCTGATATTGCTTTCAATTTTATTTATAAATGCATTCATCTCATCATGAATTATGTGCTTTATACTCTCAAGAGTGAGAGGTTCCTGACTTTGAGTTAAGTGCGTAGGTTTTGTGCGTCTTATTGTGATGTTACTGCTCGTATCTCGAGGTGAGATTCCAGAGCTGCGAACAGGCGTATCAGAATTATCACATTTTGATTGCTTTGCTCGGCAAGTCGGGCAAACCCAATTGTTTTTAAAATCATTAAAAATTATTGTTGTTATTATATGTTTTTAAAATTATTAAAACTGCCTTTAAATAAAAAAGGTGAGCAACTCCATAAATTCTATAATATAATTAATAATGGAGTGAGAGGCAAATTGTTCTTTAGATTCTATATGTATTATTTATTTCAAAACATGATAACACGACTAGGCATAATGATTTTTTTAATTTATTCTAAGCCAGCGCTTAACTACAATTCCACCTGACGGTAAGTGGTGATGTAGCCTAAGATGATGAAGTGCACTAACTTAATAAAAGCCTATTTACTCTTGCCTTAAAGACACCCTGATTGTAATCGGATGGAAACACAGATGCTGACAACTTATTCCACTCCTTTGCTGTATCCATGATGAAAGATGTAGCAAAACGTTTGTTTCGAATGCGCGGTAAGTCAAAAACGAAGGGTTGGTGACAGGCCGAACGTCTGGTTGTTCGATGGTGGAAGGGAGAGAAAGGAGTTAAATTATGCAATTACTGCGCACACTCTCCGAAATGCACCCTGTAGAAAACCGAAAGGCAGTCTACTTTGCGCCTGTGTTCGAGATTGGAAAGATTGATTTTAACTAATCTGGGGTCAGTAATAAGCCTCTCAGCAAGTTTTTCCATTTCGTTCAAAGATGCTATGTAGCATTTTGTAGCACCAGCCTATATATGGCAGCAATACTCCATGCACGACCGGACTTGCTCTATAAATAAAGTAAGCAGCTGTCCCGGCGTAAAGTATCGCCACACCTTTGCAAGGAATCCTCGCTTCCTTGCAGCTGCTTTGGTCTTGGACTCAATGAACCACCCGAAGTTCATATTTCAGCTTATCTTAACCCTCAACAACTGAAGGTCGGTGTACTCCAGTGAAAAATTTCGGAAACAAGGAACCAAGGTAAGCTGGGTCCTTTTTGCAGTGAAGAGACACGCTAGTCTTTTGGAGGTGTTGAATTTCACAAGATTGGCATCATCTCCTTCGGAGGCTGCGTACAGTATGAGATTCACACACTCTAAAATAGCTTATCTTTCGGACTGGATTTGAGCCCGACTGGCCCGAGGACTTGTTTGGTATCTCTCCACAACTATGCTATTGTCTGAAAATCCATAGATACAAGGCATAAGCAGACCTTCAATATGCAGCAGGAAGAGAGTTGCGGAGAGAACGGACCCCTGAGGAACACCGGCGTTAGTCCCTACAGGATCGGATGAGCAGCCATTGACGACGACCCGGAGAGATCGTTCACTCAGAAAGTCAGAAATTCCTTTACCCAGTTAAACAGACCTGGGGTTAAGCCGTACTTTGCTTACCCAAAAGGCTAGTGTGCCAAACTCTGTCAAAGGCCTTGGAGACATCAAAGGAAACAGCAAGTGCTTCCCCACTGTTCTCGAGTGCCTCGCCCCATACGTGTATAGCATACACTAGAAGGTTCCAGTTAACCGATTTCGGTGAAACCCGTATTTGTGATCACTAAGGGAGTCCATATTTTCTAGTTATGCCATTAGGTGAGCGTTCAATATGCGTAGACCAAAAAGCTCTAGTGCCCAACGGTCTGGCAAAGAGTTTTGGCCAATATGCTTAATGCGATCGAAAGTACCTTTCCGTAATGCTTTTTCGTAGGACTTTGCGGCTCGGTTCTCTTCTTAGAGCTAATATCCGGTGCTTTGCGGTTTCAAGCATCAACCCAGGATAGGTACGCTAAATACGTTATATCATGTTCGAGCTTTACTACTGGCGGGAGCGTTAGAGAAGGGGATAAAATACTCCATAGCTTGACGCAACATATATGTTATCGCACATCTACGCAGCTCGATGGATTCGCAGAAAAGAAACAGACCTTCCGCAAAGGATATGATGCAAAAAAGTGTCGTATCTCATCCCAATCAGCCAACTTATACCGCCATATTCGTCGAACACCTTGGCACTCGTAATTAGGGGGAGAATATGATGATACAAATTTCACCAGACAGTGGTCAGATGTACCCAAAGGAGAGGTAACATGAACTGCATACTTGTCTGGTTCAGTAGTCAGCAGAAAGTCCAAACAATTGGCTCTGTGACCGTCTACATCGGGTACCCTAGTCGCTTCCTTGACCAGCTGAGAAAGATCTAGCGTCAAGGCAAAATTCCACGCTTTTCTTTAAGTATGGTTGGCCTTCTGGTATGGGAACAGCCAGTCTTAGTGACAGGCATTAAAGTCTCCCAGAAAGACCAGCTGTGTAGAAGGATACCGATTTATGGGCCATATTAGCAGCCTCACTAAGGTGATCAAATAAACGTGTTGTCTCCTTGTCACCGCTATGCAAGCGATAGACACGAGCATAAAGGATTTTATAAATATCTGTATCTACCATTACCCATATTTTCAATAAAGTAGGTTATTCAAGGGACGGAGACTCTGGAAGCAGGTGTCATTGCGGATGTACGCATGGACTAGAACTTAGATGGAAATTGAGGGATGAAAAGATTGGCTACGTCTTGAAGCAGGCTCCCATGAAATATACTAGGCCATGAAAATGATTATATAAGTCAGTTCTTACAGTCCGTCAAGTGCTCTACAAGATTAGTGTGCAAGCTTAATTTTTCATATGTTTTCTTGATTTTTTTTGATTCTCTTAAATATATTAAACAAAAAGATCCATGAAACCAATTTGTCAACGTGTTTAGGATTGCCCCAATCATTATATCAGATTTAATAGAGCTCAATCATCGCATAAGAACATCGATTTCTAGCGAATTTGATTTGCAAGGCTTACTGTAAGCTTGTTCTGCGTAAATCGGACCAAAAATTTATATTTGAAAGTTGAAGGTTCTTTAATTATAACATTAGGTCTTTAAACACCCTTAAACACCCAGACCTACCCGTGACTATGGGCATTGCGAAGCTCCCGAAACAAAGATAATTAAAAAGGTTAAAATTGAACGCGAAAAATCTGTAAAATTAGTTTTAATCAATATCCTTCGCAGTTGAAGGTGTTCGAGTAAAATTTCGTGAACGCTTCCTGACCCAGTCTTGTGTGTGAATGTGTGCTGAATCTGGGGTTTGAAATTGGCTTGTTCATTTTTTCTACTCGTTAAGTATTTTCAAAATAAATCTGGTACTTACCATTGCATCACGCAAAAAAAATATTTTTCCAAAATCTTTTTGTGTGCATAAGCGAACAACCTTGACGTCGATTAAATTGAGAATATACTCAGTACGTTTTTATTATTCCATTTGAAACAACTGGACAGACTGAATAAATAAAAACCGTTTTCAACCAAACCACTTAACTAAATAAATATATTTAAGCTCTAATATTATTTTTATCGAAAATCAAAAGGTTATAATTAAATATAACGTTGGAAAAATATAACAAACTTAAAAACGAAAATGAAAAATACGTACAGATTTATTTCTGCCTTTTGTAGAATATTAGGTTATTTCAATGTCAAAACAGTGAAATTATTATCGAACATCCATTTCTTTTTCGTTAAATTTATTAATGTCTGCAAATGTCACAGGCTTTTGTGATTGCGCAGCCTACCAGACTTCTTACTAAAACTTCCCCATTAATTATTAGACTGACACTAACAAATCTCGTAATTTCATTCGATTTCAACTTTTTATTCCCTCATTTTATTAATCATTCTGAAAGCAGTCATATCCATAATATTGGTCTTTCTGAACATTAAGGAATAATAGACTGTTCGGAAAATCACCTTAAAATGATATATCCGGCCACTGGCCATTACTTACTGAATGGAAATTAGTCTTGAGAATAATTTTAACACTTACTACTACTTTGCTATGTATCCACCTATTTTTACAAAGGCGCGTTTACTTAGGAACATCAAGAAATGAACATAAGAATGTTAAAAGCTTATTTCTACAATTTAACTTTATTAACAACCGCTTCAGTTGTTAATGGCTCCTCGAAAGGCGAAAAACTATGCTCTTACAAATATTAACATCAAAAAATAGTAACATAATGTTGCTTTGTTTAATAACATGGTTAATGGCGTGAACTATTTGACTATTTAATGATAACAAAATATTTCATCTTAGTGTTCAGCAGCGAAAAAGCATCTGAATTTTAATAAGAATGCCACCACCAAACTGCTTAGACATCTATATTTATGCAAATGTAGATGTCTGTGCCGTTTGGTTACAGCATAAAGCAATAGTACACCACCTAATTTCTTACCGTGGGTGTCGTAAGTAGCGACTATGGGAAATGTCAGAAAAATCATGTGACATCAGTTATAAAAATTCAATGCACCGTCAAAGGTGCGAAACTTCTGGCTCTGCAATCTTCAAATAAGTATGTTACATTTTTTTATGGTCAAATTATCTTTTTTTATAGAAATAGGGTGACAAACGAGCACACAGTCCACCTGATGGTAAATTGTTGCTGTGGCCCATAGACATCTACATCTATCCTCGTTTGCTAATCAAAATGCACATGTGTTGTCACCCGTGAGGACTAAGATGGAATGCCTATTTTCCAGTAAAAAGGGTATCCGGTTCTCTACACTCACCATATGAAATACAAAAGCTTTAAGCTGCTATTTCACGCAGGTGTTCTGTGAGAGCGCGCTATACTACTAATACAGCTGCAGCATGCCTCTACCTCGTATATAGGTACGTAATTGCATGATAACATCAAAATATGCAAACCAACAGCAACGCCAATCTAAGTGTAACAGGGTAGCCTCTCAGCAACACCAATCCTCCTTGCCTGCACTAGAATAATTACAAAAACGAACAGAACCACAAATCTATCTTACCACACACTATAGCACTAGTAGAATGACTACACTCGTAGAATGACTTAAGTGAAATCTCTGGCGCAGTGCGCAATAAACGAATTCACTTAATACTGCACAAACGAGTGGGGGTTTCTCGATAATACTCCATACCACCTCTCGATATACATAAAGTTTCGTGTCCCTTGCTCAAGACACTTGATGCATACGTCTAGCCGTCTAGCTAAATGCTTTAAAAACCACGTAAATTTAAGCGGGTCATTCGTGTTCACTATATAGCTACTATTACTAAACAGCCTATTTACTTTTTAAAACCACATTTAGGTAAAATTAAATTAAATACAACCTTATTGGCTTGGAATTATAAAAATACCACGAGCGATTCTGATCTAATTGTATCTTATACTGAGGAACAGAACGACTGTGGAATTGAGCATATGAGAATGTTAATAATTTTATTTTGCTTTTCGTCTATAATATATTGTTTGTTGAAAACACAAACAAAACCAACTCTAAAATTATTACACAAAAAATGTTTTATTGAATATACTTTCCTGAATGTGTAATAGGAATATACCAAACTCCTTTAGCTTTCATTCGTTATGATTTCCTTGAACCTCAAATTTAAGCTATTCTTTGAGTCCAAGGTTTGGCCTTAGAACTCAAGGAAAAGTAAGGTGTCCTTGCAAAGGCGCGATGGTACTTCATTCCGGAAAAGGATCCAATATTACAAAGCAGGCGGAATCAAAACCTACAGGAATCTTCCCGTGAACTCAGAATCTTAAAATTTGGTACAAAGCAACCTTTTATAATACAGATAAAGGAAAAATTGCGAAAAGCAAAAATTTTTAGTTAGATCATATAATAAAAATATTTGTAATAATTTTAAACTTATATACCTACGGATTTTTTCGGAACCCTCGGTTCGCGAGTCTGACTGGCACTTGGCCGGTTTTTTATTAAATTATAAATATTTTATTTATATAAAAAATTACCATGAAAATCAATTTCTAAAATACATTTCTTATAATTTAAGTTTTTCAACTCTAACTTTATATTAATACTCTAAAATATTTTAGTACAAGGCTGCTTAAAGCACCGAAAATTTCTCCATTTCTTAGCCGAAAGAAATTAATTATAAATAAACTAAACTAAATTTAACTGCCATTTACATTCCATGACTTCCCATATAATAGATGAAGAGTTTTAAAAATAGATTGAGTTGAACAATTGACATTTTCAAAAGTTATCGTGTTTATGACACCATGTGGACTTGATAAACCAAAAAACCACCACCAAAGATCTGTGCGTAAGTGCTCACTGCCCTGATACAAATTACCGTCCCAAAGCATGCGCGTTACGACAATGCCAAATTATTTAATTTTTTTAAATATTAAATTAAACTGACCAAATAGTTATACAAGCTGACCAATTATCAGGGAATGCTTCTCGATCGCGCATAGGTGGAATTTTATATTTTTTTCGCGAATGAGGTGCTAAAATTTCTCAATGACCTTGAAAAACTTTAACCCTTAATAAAAATGTTTCTAACGATGACCCATTAATAAGATCAACTGACCTTTTTGACCAATTTCTTGGTAATTGGTAAATCGAAATTCCTCACATGGGGTGCTAACATCGCGGAGCTCAGATGCAGGTGGCTCAGGACCATGTTTTGTGGCATTCCTTGGGGGAGGCCTATGTTCAGCAGTGGACTTGTGAAGGGATGTAATGATGATGACGATGATGAACCAATTTAACAGTGAATGATTTAAATGCCTGTTGAAATTCTCTGCCAGTCAAACTGTAGTGCTAGTGGTAAGCTATTAGCAGATGTAAAACTTTCTATAAAATAAAATAAATTTATACGTAAGCATTTTTTAGTATTTAATTAAGAGAATCAGGCGTTACTTTGCGGAAATCCATTATATTGAAGTTGGTAAGAATTACATTGCGTACCTTCGCTCGATAAAATAAAATGACGTGTCTTACCTAGTTTGAAGAGCACCTCCTTCCCTCCCTCAATTGCGTGCACTATCCCCGTTATCACTAATCCCAGCACCATTACTCCCAATACCACTACACTAGGAAAGACACACAACTGACGACAATACGACACGTGTGTCGCCTCTACCCGAGGCATTTTCAGGTGATGTATTCTCTGCGGTGGATGCGGAATTAATTTTTAGCATATTATTTACGTTATATAAAAATCTGTGTCCCCTACATAAAATACGCAAAGATATCTCTTTAATTGGAACATCAAAGTAAATTTGAGATTTGTACGTGATTTTAACTCTGTAAATAAGGTATCGAGAAATCCCGAGTGTCGCATATTCAGGGACTTGAAATTGCTTCTTCGTGTTTTCTGACTCTAAATGTTTTACTTAAAGAAGAATATTTCTGAACAAAATACTGTTAATGTATTTTATTTAAAATTGTTAAGGTCTTCCATATTATCTCATCAATTTTATTTTTATAGCTTAAATGCGTTATTTGTTATGTCTTTATTTTTAAGTCATCTTCATTGGTAATAAGATATAAACTTCATGTCAATGTTTCATTATTATAATTTATTACATAAAACTTACATTATAAGAAACTATAAACCAAGATAAGCAAACAGTTCCACTCCAAGAGGTATAGTGTCAATGACGCTGGCTGCGTTTCCTTGCTGAATGCCTGTTACTATACCTACTTAGTCTTCTGGCGAGAAAAGAACCAGCTTTCTTGCCACCAGCAAAGGTGGTACGATCCCCACCTGTATCAATAACGTCGCTAATTGCAATTTTAACAATGACATTGACGTCGACAATTTACCGAGATTTATCTTTAATCCTCCTCAGAGAGGATGCCTGTGTCCAGGATTGGGATGTATCAAGGCTGTAACTTTTCTTTACTTAAACTTCGATAATTAGAAAAATAAAATTCAAATCCAGGACTTGTTACATTGTTATAGACCACGAAGATATATTATATTAAAATTATAAAGCTTGAGTGACACAATAAGTGTATTAGAAAACAATTACCGAAATTAATGTTACGAAAATCGAATTGTAATCTCTTGTTAAATAAATGTTCATTCTAAAATTTATTTTGTGTCTCTTCTACTCACGTACGGTATTACTTAAGATAATGTAAGAAATAATAATTTACAGAACTTTATAAGAAAATTAATACTTTAGTATTTGAAATCGTTGTTTTTATTTTGCTTCATATTCGAACATTTATATTGTACTTTATATTTAGATTTTATTTAAAAGGGGGATAAATTTTCGTTATCTACTAACCGATGTGTTTGAGATAGTCGTTTGCATATTATGATAACTTATTTAGCTCCTACTATCGTGCGTCTCTATTGAATG